AACCTCAGCCCCCAGTGGTGCTGGAGAAGTGACTTCAGGCAGCCAGACAGGGGACTTTCTGGGGTTCACCCATGCCCTGGGACCCTGGGCCACCTCCACCAGCCTGGAGAGGGGGCTCCCTCCATCCTGGGGGCCGTGCGGCTCTCCACGGCTTCTCCCAGCACGTTCTCCAATGGTGGGCGCTCAAGGCCGGCGGTCAGCGCTGGTGTGACCTCAGAAGCGGACAGACACCGCAGCAGAATCCAGGGCCTGGCGTGCAGAAGTCCCCACTGGGTGGCATCTGCCGGACCCGCGGCCCTTTGGGCGGTGCAGACATCACAAGGTGTGCGAATGGCTCTAAATGTTTAATAACTCCCCTGAGAGCCCTTCCTCTACAGTGAGCCAGCCCCCACCGGCCCTGAGACCTGGCCGACCAACCAGGCCCCATCTACAAGAACATGTCTCGAACCTGCCCCCATCGGAGTGCTTCCGTCCACACACGCTCACCCACACTCACTTCTCTTCTTCACCCCATACTCACCCCTCCCTCCAGAGTCTCCATGGAGGCTCTCACACCCCACTGGGGCACCTCGGCGCCCCTGCACGGGTCGAGGCAGTGCACTGGCGCTGGCCTGGCGGGTGCTGCACCTCGGCCTGCAGCGCCCCGTGGCTGCCCACGGATCCTCCGGTGTTAATCAAACCCAGTCCAGAACGCAACTGCAGCTCGCTCCTTGTTCTGGGATGAAATGTGCAAAGCACAGACCATATCATTAACATAAAGCTTCCAGAAATAAGGCCCCTTTCCAGACAGACTGTATTAATTGCACCAAGCTTCCACAGCGAGGGTGGTCCAGTCCACGGCGTCCCATTGGACGGCCCGGTTTTAAAAACCAACGCAAATGAACACTGGGATATAGTAGAAGGAGGGGGAAACGATGGTTAAACCCTCCTATTTACTTACAGGTATTCTTTTATCTTTATTGTCCCTTTAACCCAAGCCAAGAAACCCCCACCTGGTTACACAGCACAGCAAGCAGGCTCTCGGCAGAAAAGTAAATTGAATTTAACTTTACAGGACGGCCCTGTGATTTCAGCAGATACCAGTGACAGCAGCTGACTCCTTCCATTAAACCCGAACACTCCACTTCCCCGAGCTGGGGTCCTGTGTCGTCTTACATGCACCCTTGAGCTCCACCAAACTCATGTATTAATCAGGGTGGCTGCTGACCATTGGCGGCTTTTAGATACGCAGCCAAGGCTCTCGCTTCCTTCTCTACCTCCCAAGGCTGGTGGGGGATCTGCCGCTCAGAACGCAGCCTCGGGGTCCGGCTTGAAGGAAGAGTCCACGCGGTGCCAGACACGGACGACGCCGTGTTCTGAAGCCCATCTGCTCACGCGTGAGTCGCGATGTCTACAGGGTTCGTTCGGCACGGGGCACAGCTCTCCACTCCTGACCTATGGCCTCATGCAGTCCTCCAAACAGTCCTTCAGAGCCTGCACCACCCCCATGTTGCAGGTGGGGAAACGGAGGAAAGGGGCAGGAAATGACTTCCCCAAGGTCACACCTCTCCAAGGTCACACTCTCCAAGGTCACACCGCCATGCGGCACAGAGCGGCCTTCACCCAGGGTCTGACACACTCTCGTGTCTGCCTCTGAATCATAGACGCCTCCAGGGCACGCTCCCCAAGCCCCAGGCCCAGCCAGCCACAGTAACTGTAACTGAAAGGACTAAATGACCCACTTCAGAGATCAATATAAGGAGCCCCGTTTCTAACTGTAACATGAATATCACAGCTATGTAGGGTGTCCCCCAACAATGTATACACACACTTTGAACCATTATAAAGGCCATGTTTATTCAAATACATTTCATTTTCAAAACTGAGCTATCAGCTCTTCAAATCTGTGTACATTTTGGGGGGCACCCTGTATATGTACGTGTATGTGTATATATATATATTTTTTTAGAAGGGGAAAATGAGGCTCAGAGTGGGGGGGGCAGGGGTCACTTGTTCGAGGTCACCAGCCAGGTACAGGAAGGGCCAGGACCACAGCCTGAACCTCTGGACTCCACGGGAGGCCTGGGGAAGTCCCTACGTGGAATTTCTCAGGAAAATCTTCATTTCTAGGAACGCCTGGACTCGGCTGCCCGTTATCTCAGCGAGTCAAAGAGCAACGGATGCACAGGGGTCAGAGAAGTCCCTTCCCCGACCCTGACCACCAGAAAGGGGGCTGGGTTGGGGTCCTGGGAGACGGGGCTTGTGGGTGCCGCCAGCCCGAGAGGCACACAGCACCATGCCTGTGCGGTCTTCTCCCCCAGGAAATCACACCCTTCCATAAAGAGCTGCGAGCCTGTTCCCGGGCAGGCAATTAACCTGCGCGAAACACGGTTACACCGGGGTTTTCCGTATTAATTTGAAGAGAGAGGTTCAGTGCGTCCAGATCCGGAAAGGGACAAGACAGAGTGCGGCCGGCGGCCCCTTCCCCCCTGCACAGAGGCCTGCCTCCTCCTGACGGGGAGCTGGGAATGTAATGACTCCATTGCAGCTGCTAATTAAACAGGCACTAAACACACTGAAGCAAACAGCCGGGTGCCGGGGGCAGAAGCTACAGAGGGACAAACACCACAGGAACGGGATATTTGCAGGTTGAAATTCATCGGAAAATACGGTGGTGCGACCTGGCACAGCTGATTCATGGGGACCCGGCGATGAAAGGGGACAGTGCTGGGAGTCGGGATGGAGTGCTGGAGGCTGAGAGCGGGCCCCTGGGGTCAGGAGGAGCGGTCCCAGGGACGACCCCAGGCACAGACACCCCACTGCCATCAACTCTGGGGGCTGCTCCGGTCTCTGAGTCCTCATAGCATCGAGCTATAAAGCCCGAGAAGGCCTCACACTGAGGAGGCAATGCCAAAGATGGAACAGGTGCTGGCTGAGCAGCCCAGGATCAAATCCCACCTCTGCTCCTCCATCCCCTTTAAAGGGATGTACAGTCCCCTTCCGGCTCCTCCCACCACCGCCAGACTACAAGCAGCGGGAGGGCAGGGACCCCTCGCCTGATTCCGCCTGGGTTGCACAGTGTCTACAAACTAGGTGCCCAAGAAATGGCGTTTTGTGGAGGAATGGATGCGTAAATGAATGAGTGAATGAATGAATGAATGAATGAGAGCTGTGAGCCCTCAATGTCTCTGAGCCTCATTCTCTCATCTGTAAAGTGGGGAGGGGAGTGAACCTACCTAAGGCTGCTGTGAGGATTAAACTCAAGAATGCACACAAAGTGCCTAGAACAAGGCAGCAAACAGTAGGCCCTCTATGCACAGCCCTTACAAGGAAGCAGGTGGCACCGCGGCTGTGAGCAGGTGTGTGAGGAACATCCCCCGGATGTAGGCAGAGGCATGTGACTCAGTAGGCAGAGGGTAGCCTTGTCAGGAGGCATCCTGCTGACAAATTCCAGGTCCCCAACCTTGGCCCAGCCACCCCGCCCAAGGCTTTACTTCCCCGTCTGCACAATGGGGATGGAACAGCTCCCGCACAGCACAGCTGCTTCTCGGAAGAGCTGGAGCCGACAGAGGGTTAAGCAGAGCCCTGAGCGCAGAGAAGATGGTGTGTCTGCACCACAGAACTTGACGGAGTCCAGTCATAAACATTGGGCTGATCTCTGAGAGCTCGCCCCACCCCTACCCCGCAGTGGCTGCAAGGCCCGCAGCACTCATTACAGGAAGCCATGAGAGCAGGGCAGCCGCCCAGACAGCGCAGGCACCAGAGCACAGACCTACGGGCTGGGACAGGAGCCCCAGTCACCCTGGACACCAGGCCCACGTGACTTCTATGCGAACCCCACCCAGGCGATTCTTCTTGGTGCGATCAAGGCATAACCCAGTCCCTATGATGCCACCATGTGTCAGAGGGGATGCTGCGAAGGCTACCTCGCCAGCAGCAAGGCCCAGCGAGCACTTGACCCTGGAGCTGGGCCGCCTGTGGCCCTCCACAGAGATGGGGCTCCAGCAGGGACCCTCCCTGGGAACAGCTTCAACTAAAAGCAAACCCTGCCCAATAAAATCACCTTCCTTCCACCACCCACGTCAAGAGAAATCCTGCATGTGTCCCCGCTCTGCGCCCACCCTCTCCTCTCCCGCCTGGGAACCGGACAGCAGGTGCGCCCACCACCTGGGGTGTGTCGGCATCCTGGCTCCCGAGGCTGCGATGTGCTGCACACCAGGCAGGCGGCCGAGAAGCCGCACACAGCCCGAGAGGCACACGGCGCACACACCAGGGCCCAGGCCAGAAAAGGAGGTGGCCTTCTGTTTGGGGACTGGGGGTGGGGAGGGGGTTGGTGGTTGTAATGGTGGCCAGGTTGAGTCACCACCTCACTGCCCCTGTGTGCCCATCTGTAAAATGGGCAGCCTCGTCAACCGAAAGCCAGGCGCACAGTAGGTGCTCAGCCCCTCAGTAAACACATGGCCCTGCCCCAGCCCCCTAAGACCCCCCTGAAATCCCCCTGAAAGGCTCCTTTAAAGTACTTTTTCCCCTCAAAGTTAATGGGCAACACATTCTCACAAAGAGAAACGCGTTTTGGACGGCTTGGCAATGTACACAGACAACCACCACGGAATCTTCTCCTGGCCATGTCTGGAGTGGGGCAGTGGCTGGGGCGGGAAAGGGGTGGCAGTGGCGAGGGCAGAAGAAAACCTCAGATGTTAAGCGTTATCCAATTAAGCTTTAGCTAAACAGCCCAACGAGATGGAATTTGGAGGCTGGGGCGCATTCTGGGAGACTCTCAGAATGGGCGGAGGCGTGGGGACCTCCTGACCCATGGGGACCAGGCACTGGTGCTCAGTTCTGTCGGCATCCTTCACCACTCCCCCTGGAGCCCCCCCGAAAATGCCTTTTGGGGCAGGGGCTGCACGGCCCCCCTGGGTCCCCACCTTGCCCCGGCCCACCTGGGAGAGGCAGCTGCTAGCTCTGCCAGGGTGCACCCCACCACCCCCGGGAGCCCGCCCCCCCACCGCGGCGTCTGTTACCTGACAACTGACACTGACATCCAAAAGGAGCCTCCATGTGCCCCTCACCCTGAGTCCCGTCACCCGAGGCCGGGCGCGCGCTGCAGCACGGCAGGGGGAAGCAGGGCGGCAGAGCGCCCAGGGCGCGCAGAGGTGAGGTGATCACGGATGTGTGAGGGTGGGAGGAGGAGGCAGCTATGGGGGCCATCGCGGGCAGCTGGGCAGGCCTGCACGGCCCTGGAGAAAAAACAATAGAAAAGACTGGTCAGTCGGGCCCTGGACTGTACACGGGGCTCGGGGCGCAGAACAGGGGCCCGGGGCAGAGGGCTGCAGGCCCCCCTCCCGGGGTGCCAGGCCCCGCAGGGAAGACCACCGGGGCACAGGCAGGGGCCTGGGGGTGCTACTTCCACAGCTGCCAGGTTGGGCTGTCTTAGGGCCAGGCTCCCCTCCCCGAGGGCCTAATGCAGGGAGCTGTCAGGGTGCCCACTCCCAGGTAGGTCCTCCTATGGGAGGGGGGCTTCTGAAGTGCTGGGGAGCGGGCACCATTGGGCATCTGTTCCCAAAAATCTGGGCCACCACCCACCCTGGGAAACTCCAGGCCACCGCTTGCTCTATCGGATGGCTGTCTGGACAGGCCCGGCCTCCCCCAGTCCATCTCGGAGCGCCGGGCGCCGGTTAGCCTCCAGCCTGGCGAATGGCCAGCTGGTGCCGCCCTGCAGCCCGAGGCCCTCCTCAGCGACCCACGCCCCCAGGCCTTTCAGAGGCTTTGAACACCCCCAAGAGAACCCTGGCACTGCCCAGCACCCCTCCTCACGCCTCCCTGGTCCGATGGCCACGACGCAGGGCCAGGGGCCTGCCTCGCCTCAGCTCCCCGGCACGGCCTGCATTTGATTTGGCCGTTTATCTTAAATGGCTAAGAGACCACCAGGGCAAAACATTTGTGTGAAGCCCTTGCCAAAACCACAAGTGAAGAAGCCCAAATTCCCTGGGTGAATAATTGAGCGGGGAAGCATCAGAGAGACAAAAAGAAAACGTCAACAACACGACAGGCAGCTGGGCCCTGGGCCGGCTCTGCCAGGGAGGCCGCCCGACGCTGCTCACCGCCCCACACAGGTCTGCACGGCGGGGGTGGGGGTGGGGGGGGGGCGTCTGCCCACGCCACGGCCCCACGTGGAATCCTCCATCCAGAGAGCCACAGGGCCCTGCAAACCCACTGCGAGCCAGGAGCCACAGTGTTCACCGCCCGTGAGTTTCCCAACATGCCCTGGGGTGATGAGGCCTACGATACCCATTGCACAGACCAGGAAACTGATGACGTGGCCCCAGAAAGCTGTACACACCAGCAGCCTGGTTGCCTGGCTGCGGAACCGGGGTGCTTTGTCTGTAACCCAGGACTGGAGGGGCATCGGGGCATTTAAGAAGACCTGCCAATGTCCTGCCGGGAGGTCAGAGCTAACCCCAGCCACCTGGCCCCTCTGGGCCACGGAAGACCTCCCACCAGGCTATGCCCAGGGCCCCGGGATGCTTCTGAGCTCAAGGCCCAGGAAGGGTGTGGCGAGGGCCCCATACGCAGTTCCAGCCACAGATGCCGAGCAGAAGGCAATGCCCCAGATTCCAGACAGGCCCCAGGGAGGGTCGGCACTTGAGGCCAGTGCCACCTGCCCCCTCCTAGAAGCCTGCCCCGGCCAGTCCTGGCCTGAGAACCCATCCACTACGGAGGCCTTGCCTACAGACCCAGGGCGGCTCTGCACCACCCGTGGCTGTGACAGCAGCTTTGAGCGAAACACCGACCACAGCCACCCGCTCAGCAGGGAAGATCATCCCCGTCCCACGGGGAGGCGGAGGCTCAGGGAGGTTGGGAACCCGAACCCAGTTGCGTCTCTGAAGTCTGGAGGTGCCCTGCAGTGGGGTGGAGTGATGGGGCGGCCCTGGATCCTGAAAGGGAGGGGCTGTGGGGGGAAGGGGAGCTGGAGGGTCTGTGGGCTCAGCCAGGCCATCAGAGGTTGCAAAGGAGCAAACGTGGGTGGGTCCCCAGGTTCTGGGTGAGGCCACAGCATTTCCCAGGGCTGAGAAAACCAGCAGAGCCCCCGGTGCTGGTGGCACTGCCCAAGGCGGAACAAGCAGAACCTGTGCCTCCGTGGTTGGAAGGAAGGACCACAGGACAGTCCAGCCACACTCTCTCCTTCTGGGAAGGTCAGGCTCAGGCCCGAGTCAGGAAGGGTCCAGCCATCCTCACTCAGGGGGTGGGGGCTGGGCTGCCCCTGGGGGACCTCAGCACCTCATTAGGAATCTCCCCTAGCCAAGTCCACCTGCTCCTAGGTGGAGGCGGGCTCCACCGAGCCAGGGCAGGGGCCAGCAAGGCGAGGGGCTCCCAATCCTGACCTGCCTGCAGAGAACCCCTGCTTGGGGGGGGGGGGGGCGCGCGCGGGGCTGGTCACCACTGGAGCAGTGTAAGCCTGCCCAAGGGTGCGGCTCCAGAAGTCCTGGCCTGAAGCTGGGGCAGAAGCCCAAGGTGCTGAAAGGAGCTGCCTACTGTATGATCGCACGTGTGGGGAGAGTCCAGGACAGGCAAATCCAGGGAGAGCCCTGGACAGGGGGCGGGGAGGGGCGTGAGAGGGTCGCGGCGGGGTTGCTTTCGGGAGAATGAAAAGGTTCTGGCATTAGATAGTGGTGATGGCTGCCCAACACGGTGACTACACTCAAAACCACGACTCATACCCCTTGAAAGGGTTAAAATGGTGAATTTTTTGTTCTATGAATCTTATCTCCATTTTCTTCTAAAGGCCAACTGTCTCTGGCTTCGTTGCCCATCCCAGGCCACCTCCCAGCTCTGGTTCCTTCTCAAGGAAAGCGTGTCTGCCTTCAAAGGTGCAGCCAGCGCCCGGCCAGTGTTGCTCAGTGGTTGAGCATCGACCAGTGGACCAAGAGGTCACAGTTTGATTCCCAGTTGGGGCACGTGCCCTGGTGTCGGGCTCGGGCCCCAGGACGGGGCATGCAGGAGGCAGCCGATCCATGATGTTTCTCTCTCGTCGATGTTTCTATCTCTCAATCTCTCTCCCTCCCTCTCTCTCTAAAAATCAACAGAAAACACATTTTTAAAAAAATAAAGTGCAGCCAAGGGACCCAGAACCCGTGACAGAGCACTCAGACCCTGTGACCAGAGGCTGACACGTGCACAGGAAGCCAGGAGCTCAGAGAGATGCTGCCTGGGAGCCCGAGACCTGGGTTCTGATCTCACCTCTGCCATTTCTCTCTCCTCTGCCATTTCCTGGGTGAGTCACTTCTCAGACTCCCGCCTTTAAAGGACAGTCCGGACATGCCTGGCCGGAACAGAGCTTCTAGTGAACACGCAATAACTGTCACCCTGTTCGTTTATATTATGCATCCATTCATTTCTTCATTCATTTATTTATTTTCCTTTCTGGAACTCCCTCCCCCCCTCCCCATGGAAAGGCACCCTAGGGATCCCTGTAGGAAAAAAAAATTTCTTTGGAGGTCTCGGCGGGTTCCCCGCTGGATCCGGACCAGACGCACGTGTGCGGTGGTATGTGGCAGAGGGACGCCGAGACGCCATCCCGGCTTTACCGGGATCCAGGCGGCTTAAAAATAAACCCCTGGCTGGCTGGCCTGCTTACCGTGGAAGCTCACTTTCATTAGGGAAAGAGAAATAAACAGTGAATACATATATCATCTCATTTAAGCCCAGCAGCCGCCCGAGGAAGTCAGTAGCATACCCCCCCCCCCCCCACCAATGAGGAAACCGAGGCTGGGTGCCCAGCACCGCACGGCCCAGGGGCATCGGCAACTCACTCTGTGCGTCTGCACAAAGAGGCACGAAAATGCCCAAGCAGAAACCCCAAAACGTTTCTTAAGCTCCCCATCAGGGTGTAAGGTAATTTTTAATGCATCGTTCCGAGGGGGGTGTAACCCGCTCTCCCTTCAGGAGGGGCCCTGCAGATGGTGTGGCTTCGTTCCTCGCACATGCGCACGTCCCCGGCTCGCACACACGCGCACACACCCACCCACCAGCGCGTGGAGACACAAAAACCCTCCTGGGAACGCGGGGCCGGTTTTGAGGGGAATGGAGCCTTTCCCAAGGCTGAATCCTCGGGCGACCCTCCCACGTGGGTGGGAGGGTGACAGATCCCAGCCAGGAGACGGGCTCTGGACTACACTGTGCAGATGTATATTTTTCTCCCTACCGGTGCCTTTCCATGGATACATTTTTTAAAGCCAAGAACTCCTACTGATAGTGCAAAAATGAGTCACAGACCCAGGAGGGCGACAGACAGACAGACAGGGAGCCAGCGCCTGCGAGTGAGGGCCACTGGCAAGGAAACCTGACAATCCCGCGCCCCTCCCCCCATGCCAAGACATTAATTCTCACAAGTCGGAGAAAATTACTATGCATGAATGCAAAAAGCATGATCAGGAGTAATTAACATGGCTTCATATGCAAATTTTATTAATGCAGAAGTACAAAGTCATTATGCAAATGAAACTTACGTCAACTCTCTTGACAAATATTCATCGCTGAGGCTCAAGTTTCTCCCTCTTCATTTATTTATTTATTTATTTTTTCCTCTCCCCCCCCCCCCTTTTTCTTTTTCCTGGGTTTTTTTGTTTTTGTTTTTGTTTTTTTTAGGGGCCTAGGTAGTGCTGCTGGCCGCTTTGGCAGCAGCCAGCCAGCCACAGGACTGTGTGACAAGTTTGCAGTTGCTTTTCAACCAGAGAAATTTATTCTTGCATTGTTGATTTTTTTTTTTTTTTTTTTTTTTTTTTTTTGGTCGTTGGCAGGTAAGAAACAGCTCATAGGAGAAGGGAAAAAATAAAAAAATAAAAAAGCTCTGGGCAGCCGGCAGCCAATCAAAACGCCAGAGCCTGTAATGAGGGCGATTGATGGCTGTTTGGCTTTTACTGCAGGGTAATGAGGAGGGGGAAAAATATGAATATTCATGAGACTGTGCTCCTGCCTTTGATGATTAAAGAAATTTTTAATATTCAAATAAGCGCTTGCCAAGTGATTAACAAAGAACATGCACGCAGAAATATGGAAATGGGAGCCGGGAAGATGTGGGAGTGGAACAGGCTGCAGGAAAGGCAGCCTCAAATTTCATAAACAAGATAGGCAGATAACCCAGTTAGCACGCGGGCAAATAAAAACATTTCTTTCGGATCGCTTAAATATTTTGCCAGCTACTTTGTCTTAAGGATGATAAAAATGCTATGTATTAAGG